GATTCTAGCGATCTGATATTAAAACGTCACTGGCAATTTACCTGCTGGGAATTGTCTTTATGAAGGTTAACGAACCATGAAGGATTTGAATTATGAAGATAATTGACAGAAATTAAACAAAGTGGTTGACAACGCAGAAGAAATTCGAGAAGACATGAACAAGCCCATGATCTTGTTCTGTTTCAGTTTTAAAGGATAATTTCTCTGTCTTAATTTTGCGAAAAAGAAAAGCAGTCTTTTCCCCCCTAGGGCTATACCCGATAATTCTTTCTCTAAACGCATTCGAGAAGGTCATTGGATTCATGGGTCCACTGGGATTGTCTAAGCGAGTGCAAGTAAAATGAATCAACTACGATAATATTAGCTGCGCTTGTCTCATGTTTATGCCAATCAAAGATGGTTGAGACAAGGGAGATAATCAAGTAAAGCTAAGTTTACGTAAGAGTTTTCGACAGGGCTAATTCGTCTGCAGTCATCTAATGTTAACCACAAAGGAACCAGATTAAAGAAATGGAAAGATTGCAGGAGGTAAAATATTCCCAGTTATTCGAACGAATATCTTCATCCTTGTAGGCGTTATCATTGAAATTTTATGCGACCAGATATAATAATTATTTTTTCAAATATTTTGTTTAGTAATATCATCACAAATATACAAAAAAAAATATTTTTATTAAATTTTGCATGTTTGCCATGTGAAATAATTAGAAATTACACCCTCCATAGAAGACAAAAAATATCCCCATACGAGTTGATTTCATCAAATTTAAAAAAATATATAATTATTTTTATAGATTTTAAGAAATCACGTTGAATGCGCATAGTTTATTTTGGTTTCAGTAGTTTACAATGAAAACTGGAACCCTATCAAGCTTTTAAAAATTTAATAAAGCATTTTTTTAAAAATTCTTTGTTCTTTAGTTGATGGTTTTTAATATTTATGGTGTGGATGCTTCATATCGGGAAAAACGGCGAAAAAGTTAAAAATAAAAGGTATTATTATTGCAGGTCGTATTGCCTATTGAAAAACTCCACCGAAAGTTGGCTGTCTGCTCTCATCATTACTTTTAGGTTTTATAATAAATCCAAGAGATCTTCTTCTTCTAGGGCCTGGTCAATTACGGCTCATTACAACTGCCTCTGTTTTGATGACTTTAATATCTTCTGACACCTTACCATTTTTCCTTATCTTCGTTCTGCTATCCGTTCACACAAAATTCTAAATAGTTTCATCGCAGTTTTCTGAGATTCTCTCAGTTTCTCCTGTGATTCTTACATCCTGTCGACTAACATCCTTCATCAGTTGTTTCGACTAATAACTTCATTTTGTTGGCTTTATCCTAAATATTATCTAAATTTCTAAGATGCGTCATTATCATTTTTCTATGTGTTATTTGGACTAATATCCTCATCCTTGCTTGTTTTATCATAAATATGATCTGAATTTCTAAGATGAGTCATTTTAATTTTTCTATGAGTTATTTGGACTAATATCCTCATCCTTGCTTGTTTTATCATAAATATGATCTGAATTTCTAAGATGAGTCATTTTAATTTTTCTATGAGTTATTTGGACTACTATCCTCATCCTTGCTTGTTTTTATCATAAATATGATCTGAATTTCTAAGATGAGTCATTTTAATTTTTCTATGAGTTATCTGGACTAATATCCTCATCATTGCTTGTTTTATCATAAATATGATCTGAATTTCTAAGATGAGTCATTTTAATTTTTCTATGAGTTATTTGGACTAATATCCTCATCCTAGTTGGTTTTATCATAAATATTATATGAAATTTAATTTTTAGTCTTTATCCATCATCCATGATTAATTGGGACAAATAACCCCATTCTTTTGGATCTCATCACGAATGATGTCTGAAATCCAATGATAACCACAAGCCTATCAATTGTCTCTATTAGAATGCGAAGAACTGTCTGCTGCTAGTTACATCTGCCATTTGAGCGCACGAATGTTTCCACTCTATACACATTTGCATCCATTCTTTATGTCTTTGGTGTCAGAGTGCGCACAATCTCGCCCTTCCTCCAAACGCCTCCAAATTACTCGAATTCTTTCTAGCATGTTCACAATAATAACACACATACATATATATATATATATATTAACATTTCACTGGTGCATTTAAAAGTCTTTGCATTAAAAAAGATATTTCAGAATCCTTTAAATTTTTTCCTATGAACATTATAACACAAACACATGCAACTTCCTCTACTGCTCGTCAGTGAATTTCTAATCGGGTTTACGTCTCAAGAAAACGAAAAGTTAGAATGCTTACCTGAATCATTATCTCAGCAGCACGCTGCTGTCACTCCAGCGATTAAATTTTCAAAACTCTGATAGATAGATAGATAGATAGATAGATAGATAGATAGATATGGAGTTACTTCAGAATTAGCAACTCTGGTAAAGTACAGCTGATATAGCGAGAAGAACATCGTCGCGTTAAGCAAGTTTACATTTAGCAAAAGCTATTTCGGCCAACTTCGAAATCACTTTCACTATCCGGCCAGAAGAAGCCTAAAATATTTATGGTTTAATGTTGTAAATGTTCAAATTCTATTGGCAATACAACCATCATCCAACTCTGTCGGACCAATATATATATATATATATATATATATATATATATATATATATATATATATTGGTCCGACAGAGAAAGGAAAGAAGGAAGAATTAAGCATGAGCCGATAAAGTGACCGAGAAATGATTTTCTTTAAGGACTTCTCATTATTATATTGCTCTGTTACTTACATTGAGGTCCCTTTGGGATAATATCCTCATTGAATTATCCATACTCATTATGAGGTCAAGCAGATCATTATCAATTGGTATATATATATATATATATATATATATATATATACCTAGTGAGCCAGACAAACCTACCTCGATTTCACCTAAACGGATCGTCAGGGGAAAGTTTGGCTAACGAGGCAAAGAAAAAATATATATATATATATATATATATATATATATATATATATATATATATATAACTAGACTCGTTTTCTTATGTCTACATTCATTGAGAATTTCAGTTTTAGTTTCTCAATGTATGTAGACATAAAAAATCTGGGCTACTAAATTAGACGTTTTCCCGTTATTGACTTTCCACTGAGGATTTTTTTTTTGTTGAATAAATATTTACCACACACACACTTAGTTTTTTTTTTGTTTTTTGTTTTTATCACGTGGTATGATTTTAGCTATCACCTATAAATATGTGTTTCTCTTTGCCTCGTTAGCCAAACTTTCCCTGACGATCCGTTTAGGTGAAACCTAGGTAGGTTTGTCTGGCTCACTAGGTTTATCTAGGTCTGCTCTACGGTTGTATTGAGCTCTTTTGTTAGTTAGTTGTTACTCGTATCGGGGTTTTTCTTTGGGCTTCAGACCTGCATCTGTGCGATTTTTTTTTGTCAGAAGTTCATGTTTGTAGCTCTTTCTTTTTTAAACCTTTTTTTCCCTCGAGATTAATTTGAAATAAAAATTCGAGGGTTTTTTTCGAAACGAGTCTAGTTATCTATATTTTATATATATATATATATATATATATATATATATATATATATATATATATGAACCTCCGGCTATGGGTAAATAGCAGGACAGACTGGGTTCTATAGCCTTGGATTGCTACTGGTCTAGGAGAAGGACAACTCTGAATTGAAACCTGCGGAGGGTCGTTTGGGGACCTTGTGGCACGTAGTGCACCAGGTCTCTGTATTCGGCCCTTCAAAAAGTGTGGATGGTCCTGCTCGAAACCTTCACCACCATAATCAAATCTCATGTGTTGTTTCCTAGGAACTGATCTGCTTCACCCTCATACGTCGAATTCGACGGGAGACGAGAGAGAGAGAGAGAGAGAGAGAGAGGGAGGGAGAGAGAGCGTATATATAATCACTTTGAGAAACTTCCATTTTGACATGTTGCGCCCATGAAGCAACTTTATCAGAAAACATAATTTTATTTACCAAAGATTAATATATTACATGGTGTTCTTTGCATGTTCTGTTTGCTTTTGGCTATGATACTTTCAGCGATACTCCTCCTGTCGTGTCCATTTAGGGTGTGAACGATCATGACTCATGACAACATCCTTTAGCACTGAACAATATTTGTCTTCTTACTATCATTTCCATTCCCTATTCAGCCATTTACTCATGCTCGTTCGGTAGGATACCCCACTTCCTTTCCATATGTCCTGTGCGTGTCAAATTTTCCCAGCCCTTTTTTCTCCTGATATGTTCTCGAAATTTTAACTGTCACTTTCTGATTGTAAGTATAAGTGATGTTTTTGCTTCTATTTTCCATAAAAACTTCCCAGTTGCTTACATGCTCTGTCCACGGTATTCACTGCATACCTCTGTTGCTTTGTCATCTTTTGATCTATGAGGAAATTCTCCAGCATTATTTGTCACATATAAGGATTCATAGCACAAAGCTGTTAAGTACAATTTTCCTTTCATTCTAACGAAGATTTTCTGTTTCTTATTTCTTTGCTTAACTTTTGGAAGACATCTTTCGCTAATGCCATCTAAATAGAGAATCCTCTACTTCAGTGCGGCAATACGTACGACTCAACCGCTACACCATGCCGACTACATCAGGCTTGAATGAAACTGGCGCACTCGCTTTCTGCAATATTACTTCAAGCCTCCCTGTCTGATCTTCCAATATTTGCAGCATTTCTTGTTTATTTTGTTGCTGTTGTTGCTGTACTTGCAACTTTTGCTTCAGCTGTTGTTACGGCAAATGTTTTACCACGATTCTCAGTATTGCGAATCTATTTCCAGTCTTTAGTTGACGTGAGTTCAAAACTTCTTACAACGTAAGAATTAATATTTTTCAAACATGTGTCCTGAATCCTTGTCGCCACTGTTACAAAGTTCCTAGAACGCTCGCACTACTGGTGAATGATTCTGTAAGGAAAGACGGGAGCAAAAGGTTGAGTGAAGAACAGGTTTAATCACACAAGAGACAGGGATTAATAATACAAGAATAAAGAATATCGCAGTTCAGTACGGCAGTGCGTACGACTCAACAGCTACACCTTGCGACGACCGTAGATATTCTACCCATAGCGGATGGACTAGTCCATGTCCAACGATTAGTGTAGGGAATGTCGGTCGTCTTTCTACACAATACTTCACCGTTTGTAACTTCTCTTTTTGATTTGAGAACTCCATCAAATGATCCAGATATTTATATGATTTACCTCGGTGGCTCTAGCTGCTCTGATTAAGATCACCGTATCTGTGGGGTTTTGCTTAGGGTCAACGTATCTATGCATGCTATTTAGGATCAGTGTATATAGTGTGCTCTTCATAGGGTTAGATACAGTTGTGGCATCCTACCGATTTTTCGTTTCTTAATACTTTGCTTAGCTTTTGGAAGGCATCTTTCACGATTTCGGATTTCAGTGTCGCACTTTCCATCATCTGTTCAAAACATTCCGAGACATTTAAATTGTTGTATTCGTTTGATATTATATTATAAAGTTCGTATAACGCTCGTATTTCTGGTTAATGATACTATAAGGAAAGACTGGAGCAAAAGGTTGAGTGAAGAAGAGGTTTAATCACATGAGAGACATGGATTAATATTACAGTAATATAGAATATCGCAGTTCAGTGCGGCAATGCGTATGGCTCAAATGTTCCGCCTTGCGATCCACTTTGCGATCCTATGTGCAGACCTTCTACTCATAGCGTATGGACGAGTCCATGTCCAACAATCAGAGTAGTGAAGGTCGGTCGTCTTTCTACATAATGCATATGGTTGAGCATTGGCATGAAGAAGAACTGAATCTGGTCATTTTAGCAAGGATCGGTCTGCTTATGCTTAACTGAATATGCATTTCGCCTAGTTGCTGGAAGTAAACTTCAGCAGGTATGTTTGGTTATATTCCAGAATGTTTTAAAGTAAAACGCCTATGGTAAACAGTCAGTCTTTTGGTGCAATTTCGGTTTTGGAAAATGTTTGGATCCTTCATTCTGTTCAAACTTTTGAACTGATCGTTTACGATTGTCAAAAAAGTTCCATTTCGTGTCACGTGTCAATATTCGATCAAGAAATGGATCATTCGAATTTCGCAGATGCAGCATCTAACAAAGCTTCAGATCATCGAATTCTTTGTCTTTCATTGAGTATATGTGGAACTCATTTAAGGAGTTTCTTCATCTTGCCAACCTCTTAGTTCGTGTTCCCAGGTCAACCCCAAAACTCGGATCAAACCAACGATCTATTTTTGGAAAAATAATATTACCAGCAATACATTTTTGAAGAAAAAATATTACCACCAATACATTTTTGGAGAAAAGTTATTACCAGCAATAACTTTTTGGAAGGAAAAATATTACCAGCAATACATTTTTGAAGGAAAAAATATTACCAGAAATACAGTTTTGAAGGAAAAATATTACCAGCATTACATTATTGGAGGGTGGAATATTACCAGCAATACATTTTTGAAAGAAAAATTATTACCAGCAATACATTTTTGGAAAAAAAATAATACCAGCCATAAAAAATGGTTTAAACAAAAAAGTAAGTCCATTTGTCTAAATCGGTAAATGAAGGCAGCAAATCCTTTATTTACATGAATATTTATATAATTTGCTACATGAATACGTTTCAATTCACACAAAGGACGAAAGTTACATGAACAGTTTCATATGGGAACAGTGTGTAAACAGATAACATATTAATGATTCTTCATACGGGGATACAAACATAGAATAAACTTATAAAAGATGACCACATTAAACAAATGTTCAAATGATTATATTATAATAAGGTAGACTAAAGTAGAGAGAAATGGATTTAAAAGTTACATACCGGTGATGGTAATGTTGACGGTAAGTTTAGGAGGATGTGTAAACTAAGAACCATCGTTTTTGTTCCTCTGTCACTAGCTCGAAATATCTCTTACTCTCCCTCCCCATACAAAACTGCTATGTAAAACAATCTTTTGCCCGATGATTTGAACTTTTTTGGTAAAAAGGAGAATTTACACGATATATGGGAAAACATACGTACAAATAATTCACTGTTCATTCCAAATTTTGGCCAGTGACTAGGCTAGAGAAAGATGGTTAAAAGCCGAAATATAAACTTAGACTTTCAAAAATAACTACTTGAATAGAATGAAGTACGGGACAAAATGCAATAACATAAAGCAAAGTAAAACATACAAAAAAAATGGGTTATGAAAAAAATGGTAGAATGCATGGAATAGGAAGACACTTTTAAGAATTATTTTCAACAACACTAAGCTTATAGAATTAAGCGTTGCCAATCATCTTAAAAGACCACCCTGTTCCCACTATCCGTCGTTTTGGGGCTTTTCGTATCCCGACGTGCTTTGTCCTAATTCCTCCCATCTAACCATTTCATAATTTTCCCCTTCTTTCTTCCTCTATTACAAGTTCCA